CATAGGTGTTGGTATTTTACGGGGAATTCATAAATATGCCTTAATACAGTTCAAAGAACTGACGTTTTTACAACTAGGAATTTCTTTGATTTTGACGCAATTTGAGACTTAATGATCCGCGAAAGTATGTACTGCATGTTATACATTAGTCAGTAAGGCGATGAGAAATTAACTTGCGTCCGCAATACCGAAGAAAACGTCCGAATGTCCAGTGTCACACAGAGGTCACTTCTGCTTTTATGTATTGTTATAGTATGTAAACATGCGATGATATGAATTAACTAAGTTTTACACTATCAGGTGATAACCAGAATTTCATTTTGAAAGTTAATTACTTGGTACGATTTTTGCTGTTGATGTCCCAATTCTAACTTCGATGATTTTGGTAATGAGTAAACAATTGATATGGTAATGTGGGGCCTGATCTATTTTTATTATATGTATAACAAAAATAACAATAAGATCAAGAAGTAAATACAACGTGAGTTATCAAATGCCCGTCCATATTTATCACAACTTTGCTGTAGATTAACTGATATTGACCTAATGAATCATTTGAAATTCCCCGAAGTTAGGTATCTTTAAAGTGTAAATACTAAGCCATAAAACATACTGTCGGCATGGTTACGACAGGATTAACGTTGGTATTTTAACCACCCAAATCTTGCGAGGAGCTCTAGGGAACTGGCATGATATTTATTGTAGGGTATACTTGTTGTCTCTTTCAACACAGTGATGTATACACACTGGTAGATATCTTATTTTTATATGCCAGTTGGTAACAGTGAGACATACGACGTAGATACAGAGTGCATACTTTTCAGCGTAACTTGTTATTTACAATTTTTGTACATCAGTATATACATCTTAATAAAAGCAGCGAAACTCTCTGAACCACGAACTCATCCACACGGAAGTCAGTCCGGAAGTTCCATTAAATCAACAGCCATATTAAAAGAGATAGGTGATGTCCGAACGTATTTAAAGAGTATGTCTGAAAGTGTCATGTATATCACTCGGAAGTACATGCTTGAATCCGGAGTTCGTATGTGTTGTGCGTATTAACGATTGGTTGATTTAAAGCAAAATAAATGCCAAGCGTTTTGCATGTCACGGCTTTGGTAACGAGGTCCCCTTGGTAGCATTGGTCTGTCGTCAGATTTGTCACGTGGTATATCAGGATGCTTGTTAGAGACCATCGCAATTTCTGCTATGCATTGGTACATATAGAACACGTTTCTTTACAATAAAACAAACCACAATGAACTGTATCTGAGTACTTCACGATCTCTCATGATATTCGCCACAATGTCTCTACAAATATTACATTTGTACCGCCCTCCCACTGTATACTTATTTTCAAAGTAGATAGAAAGTCCAGTACAAGCCTATTAGATACAAATATAGAGAGAGATTTACGTGTTCCTATACACTGCTTGTTGGTGAACTGGAAAGTGTCCATTACGTGTCACGTTGAATGTAGCTGTACCTGTACGTATCCAGTAAGAACGTTTTCATTACCTTTCTATAAGCTGTAATTCTGAGGAACTATTATTGACCCGAACGTCATTACGTTATCAAGTACTTGGCACGGCATGGCCTGTCTGTTTGCCTTATGTTTGAACATCAGCATACCTGGCCATGGTTTTCTATTGTACTATTTTACAGACATAGTTGTATTGGTTTTTTCCCTTTCAAATGGAGGGATGAGACAATACTTTGTTTATTTCTCGCCATGTTGAGTCATGGTTTACCTGTCGATAATATATTGAGTGTTACTTCATCCTTACTGGCTAGGCCACTGGTATCTCTGATCATAAGATCTGGTGTGTTACTTCATCCCTACTGGCTAGACCACTGGTATCTCTGATCATAAGATCTGGTGTGTTACTTCATCCCTAATGGCTAGGCCACTGGTATCTCTGATAATAAGATCTGATGTGTGACTTCATCCCTACTGGCTAGGCCACTGGTATCTGTGATCATAAGATCTGGTGTGTTACTTCATCCCTAATGGCTAGGCCACTGGTATATCTGATCATAAGATCTGGTGTGTTACTTCATCCCTACTGGCTAGGCCACTGGTATCTCTGATCATAAGATCTGGTGTGTTACTTCATCCCTACTGGCTAGGCCACTGGTTTATCTGATCATAAGATCTGGTGTGTTACTTCATCCCTACTGGCTAGGCCACTGGTATCTCTGATCATAAGATCTGGTGTTACTTCATCCCTACTGGCTAGGCCACTGGTATCTCTGATCATAAGATCTGGTGTGTTACTTCATCCCTAATGGCTAGGCCACTGGTATCTCTGATAATAAGATCTGGTGTGTTACTTCATCCCTACTGGCTAGGCCACTGGTATCTCTGATCATAAGATCTGGTGTGTTACTTCATCCCTACTGGCTAGGCCACTGGTATCTCTGATCATAAGATCTGGTGTGTTACTTCATCCCTACTGGCTAGGCCACTGGTATCTCTGATCATAAGATCTGGTGTTACTTCATCCCTAATGGCTAGGCCACTGGTATCTCTGATCATAAGATCTGGTGTTACTTCATCCCTACTGGCTAGGCCACTGGTTTATCTGATCATAAGATCTGGTGTGTTACTTCATCCCTACTGGCTAGGCCACTGGTATCTCTGATCATAAGATCTGGTGTTACTTCATCCCTACTGGCTAGGCCACTGGTTTATCTGATCATAAGATCTGGTGTGTTACTTCATCCCTACTGGCTAGGCCACTGGTATCTCTGATCATAAGATCTGGTGTGTTACTTCATCCCTACTGGCTAGGCCACTGGTATCTCTGATCATAAGATCTGGCGTGTTACTTCATCCCTATTGGCCAGGCCACTGGTATCTATGATAATAATATCTGGTGTGTTACTTCATCCCTACTGGCTAGGCCACTGGTATATCTGATCATAAGATCTGGTGTGTTACTTCATCCATAATGGCTAGGCCACTGGTATCTGTGATCATAAGATCTGGTGTGTTACTTCATCCCTATTGGCCAGGCCACCGGTATCTATGATAATAATATCTGGTGTGTTACTTCATCCCTACTGGCTAGGCCACTGGTATCTGTGATCATAAGATCTGGTGTGTTACTTCATCCCTATTGGCCAGGCCACCGGTATCTCTGATCATAAGATCTGGTGTGTTACTTCATCCATAATGGCTAGGCCACTGGTATCTGTGATCATAAGATCTGGCGTGTTACTTCATCCCTACTGGCTAGGCCACTGGTATCTCTGATCATAAGATCTGGTGTGTTACTTCATCCCTACTGGCTAGGCCACTGGTATCTGTGATCATAAGATCTGGTGTGTTACTTCATCCCTACTGGCTAGGCCACTGGTATCTGTGATCATAAGATCTGGTGTGTTACTTGACTACTAGCTAGATGTCTAGATACGGCGTGTTTCTTTACAACTTTTGACTTTGCAGCTGATATCCTGGAATACTTTCTGTACATCCTCTTTCAACGTATGAAAGTCAAGATTTTATGAGACAAGTTAAAGGAGGATGGTCTTCACTTTATGTACTGGTGTCAATAGAATATTCCTGCTAGTGAAATAAGGACTGAACTAACCTTTTCAAATACCATAATACAATGTTAAAAATGGACTTGATTTCTTCTTGTTTATTTTTGACCGACAAAAGAAAAGTTCTCTGGACCATCTTTTTCCGGTTTGAAGTTTGAAGAATTCAAATTTACTTTTTCTGCTATGGTTTCTTTTTCTTTTGTCTTACAATCACTTTAGGGACAGAAAATGTTTATTTATGTTACAGATATCCTCGTTCGGAGACTTACAGAAGGTCTTTGGTCTTGGAGTAACATTTGGCTTTTTTCGTCGTGACATCCTAAATTATATTGTAAAGTTTTTGCTCAGTAGGGAAAGAATCAACACGATATAGCCACCAGTAGATTCTGCATTTATTTGTTAGAAACGGCCATACACATTGTACATTCAAAGAGTTAATGAACGGGTCATCGCAATGTCTTAACGCATCAAAAACAATTACAGGTATCCACAATACTGTAGGACACACGTCGATGACAACTAATATATAACTACAGACGCCAGTGGAGAATATTACCTATGTGCATATCCTGATTTCCATTAAGACATGATCTTATTTAGGATAAGAAAGGGGTTGCCTTATATACGGATAGAATTTTAACACCAAGTTAAAAAGTATACACAGTAAAGACACAGTAAATCTGATTTGTACAATTCTATGAAAAATATAAGATTCCTCTAGAAGTATTTCGGGACAAGATAGTGAGTAGAAAGAATATTGAGGAGTGCGATTACAACAAGTACCCTGCAGCTCTTTCTTTTGTACCCATTTAAAATTGTTACTTAGCAATCCTTTCATTTTTTTACGCATAACCAACCATTCATTAAACATTTTCGGCTAGACAGATTGGATTAGGGAGGTAATTCGGAGCTTCTAATGACCCAACAGGCAAATACCATAGTGAACTAGAGGTTCACATTCTGTACAACGGTATAATGACACGACAAATGAACAATATAGACATTATCAAACGACGGCTGTAAAAAGAGTAACATTAATGTCTCTGAAGGTGTTATTCTTTAAAACAATATGACAAACGTTGACCCTCTCACGACATCGATCCATACCTAACCACTGCCACGCACTTAACGACATCGTCTAGAACGTGATCATATTTATTACGTTTATACAGTCTCTTAATAATCGCAACTTTTCCACAGTATATATTTTCGAATCCTGTTTTTGTTAATTCATTGGCATGGACGCTAAATACTTCTGTTGTTTCACTTCACTATCAATTTGACGATTTCCATTGGGCGATTCCTTATTGACAAATGTCAGTTGTCACAGATGTAAGCATTGCATTGGAAGTTTTAATATCATGTTCATTTCGAATGTATATGGCACAATACAATGAATGGAAAAACTGATGTTGAGAAATTAAAAGAATTAATTCACAGAAGTTTCATCACATTAAAGGTTTTCCAAATAGTTTTTCCGTAGCGATTTTTCTCCTAAACAGCTGGATAGGAGACCTTTTCCTCCTCCTGCCTGGGCTGTGTGGACCCAGAAGATAGTAGTATTGGTCAGCAATGGACGAGGCCCACTCTGTTCTACAGGTGCCGCCGACTTCGACCGCGCATGTCCTCTTCCTACAACAAAAACGCAAAATAAGTCAATGTTTAGATACAAAGAATATAGGCATGTAAAAAAGATTTCATATTTGATATACCTTTCTTCACTCCACGACACTCCAAACAGGAAGAACATTTCTAATATGTTAATGTGTTCCATCCTCCTTTTCAGAATTCAAAATAAGACAGAAACGTCTTAACTGAAACTCGTACTGGGACATTGATGTATTTATTCTACTCCATTTCTGAGGCTCTCATCTGAGAACGTGACATTTCGTTTGAGATAGGTTGAGATTAAGATGGCAGATGTCATCGATAAAGCAGAAGACGGTCTATCTTCCAGAACACACGATCTCATTCTCCTTGATTTTTTCCGGAGACTCAGTCTCATTTTTTTTTTTTTTTTACTTATTTTGTCCTAGTTTTAGTGAATTTGAGTTTGGATTTTTAGATGTGTCGGTATTTTTATGTTGTTTTGAATTGAAAATAATATAACCGTTCAAACACAATTTAAAACGTGTGCTACAATATACTTAGAATAGAGTGTAACTTTAAAATGTGAAGAAAAAAAAACCTTACAAATTAAACGGTAGATATCATATTCAGTGCTTGAAGAAACTAATATCACCAGCAGAATGTCACTCAACTTCATTGATTGTTTAAATAAACATAGACAGGAGTGATTTATGTGAAGTACCAATGTGTAAATGAGATGCTCCCAAATAGCTTCAGAATTATTTATGTACTCACCGCTGTTGAACTATATCTTGGTCGGCGTCATTCAGTAGAGCCTTCAATTTGGCAAGGTTTATACGCTTGTGCAACAATTCCTTCAACTCGCTGAAAAAATAAAGCATTGATTTAATTCAGAGATGACTCGCGTCAATTGAACAGTAAGCAAGCGAATCGATTGCATTCTACCAAATGAATATATCAGAAACATGATTTTTACGGTTAAAGGGATTTGTTTGATATGTATTGGGTTACAGGATATGAACCTTTACATTTGTGACATTTCTGTATTTCGATAGTCTTATACAAACACAAGTATATTTGTTTAATGTATGGTGTTGCAGTGTGTAAACGTAATGACCAAGGTTGGTCCGACGGCAGTTCGGGTCACTGCCGGGAACAGTCAGGATGCACGCGACATGATGAGTAACATCCAATATTAGTGTCATGTAGTGCGCTACAAGATTAGGGATTGCCTGTTATTCATCCCAAACTCAAAAGTTACCAAACTCGAACAAATATGATAAAACGAGATAAAATATTTACCAGCAAGATGTCTTTGAGGTTATCTTTTTCTAAAGAGTTGTCAATATAATATACTGTTATGATCTCTCCTCTCTTCGAAAGGAACAACTTCATCAACAAACCAGTTTGAAATTGCCGTCGCACTGAAACTATATCGCTCGTTACGGAAGTCTAGATGGGAACAAACATATAACATCCAGCTGATGTCTACTGTCGGCATTTCAATAGATAGTCAATGCTTAATTTACGATGTGTCGATGAACGACATTATTAGAAGCCTCTATATACTCAGAATGAATAACTGGTAAATCGGCTAACAGAGGGAAGATTAAACGTGAATACTCATTGCGTCTCGGCTTCAGCAGGCCTCAGTACGAAATTATTAATATTTGTAAACATGTTTTGACATATAATGACTGTTTACATTTCCTTCATGTTTGTAAATTACATTTTCAAATAGGATCTGTATGATTTAGTATGAAGCTCCGTCTATGAAAATTCTGTTTTATACAGCCTTATGTTATAAATACGACCGCCCGATACCTTTATGGTTACGTAAGAAACATCAATTTCACTTCAATATTCGAAAGGGAAATAATAATATTGTAGAGTATAATCATATATTTACACACAATAAGTGGACGGAGGCAATGCTAAAACTTGTTATAGATGTTGTTATCAACAACACCAGATCAATATCATACATATTACGTTTCTTGAGTGAAAATTAATCATTTCTCCTGTTTGAAAAGTATGAAACGAATGATAGACTACTGAACGTTTTTAAAAACCTTATCTTTTATTGAGTTAACAATGAAACGAGACGGTTATTATTCGTGTACTGATAAAGTACGCTTTGCAGACTCTTAATAAAAAAATCCTCCCCGCTTTCCGATCATCACAACAATTGTATATTATTCAAACATCATTTCCTTCGGTGTCACATAAATTCGTTTAGGTTTGGTATTGAGGTTAACCGTCATTTGACAAACATGACAGGTACATTTTGGTGACTATTCTCGTTCGCTGAGATTACAACGACAGAATAATACATACATATGTTACATCCCACCTCACCATTCTTCTGGCTATCACAAACAAATCAATCTTTCGACTGGAATTCTACAATCTTACCAGCAAACGGCTCTCAACTCAACAGACAAATTAATCAGTTTTTAAAATTGAATTAATGCCCCAAAACATTTTTTTACGATTGGCCATGCTGCGCCGTTATCAGTCGAGCGGGTTCTTGTGTGATTGAAAAAATGTCTGAATTACCAACTGATTATCAGTACTGATATGGTCTTGTATAATAAAAACGATACTTGCCGAGCAAAAACAAGAAAATACCAACATGTCGACATAACCATACACAGATTCAATCAAACTAGGGCAAATATGAACAAAAGAACGATTTACACGGAGAATCCTGACAAAGTACAAGAAAAATAAGACCAGGTGTTCTGGAAGAGTAATCCGTGTAAGTAATATCATGTTCTTAAATAAGGTAAACAACAATGGAACCAACATGCAAACTAACCAGCATCAAACACGCCCAGCTTCATATAGCAGAAAGAAATAATTAAAAAAGAGAAGATGTCATATTAAAATAGATCAATTCCATTTCTACTGTCCCAATGTATTTTTTGACAAAAGCAACCAGAATCATGAACAAAATGCCAAAATAGAAACAAAAGTAAGTTTTACCAGACTAACTGTTCTGCTTCACTGACAATGTTAATAATAACAATTGATAATCGATCGTTGATGTTAACACTATTAAACGAATTTCAGATGGAACTTTATTTATACCAGCTGTAACATTGATTTTCATACATGTTTAGAAAAATCATACTACAAATATTACCTTGCAAATACAAATTGATTACAAAATTTCCATAGCTATCATTTATAATGCATTGAAATGGAAAAAAGCAAGGTCAAGCAAAGAGCATTATGATATCAATCTTATCAATGTTCTGGTGTTACCAGCCAGTTTAGTATCAATAGAGTTATTTTTCTTGTCTTGCCCTTGGTGAAAATTATTATAGAGGTTTTACGGTCGTCATCGTAATCGCATTAAGAATATATCTTCTTTGTGTTTGATTCTCGTTAATTTGTCTGTTTGTTCCGTTGTTGTGTATTTGGTTTCATTTGGAAACGAAACACTACTTACTTGGATTGATCAAGATTTACATGGCGGGTGTCGTCGATGAAGCAAAAGACGTTTACTCTTCCAGAACACATGGTCTAATTCTCGTGTTACTTTTTCAGGATTGTCATGGAATAATAATTTGGTTTATATTTGGAGTGAAAGACCTTTGTCCCTACGAAAGCATATGTTTTACTAGCTTTGTATATTAAAATGATCTTTGAGTTCATGTTTTGTCCTCGATTTATTTATTTATTATTATTATTTTTTTTTTTTTTGCGTTACGATCTTTTGAAATTGCTGATATTTTCTTTATGTTGCTAGCGGCTTGGCTGAATTAAGACATTCGTTGAATATATGTGTTATACCTTCAATGACTTCGCAAAGAGAAGACATAATCAGTGGTTAGTTTTCTCTTCCTGTGGATAAACCATGAGTAGAAAGATATGTAGACTGTGTCTGTTCCATACAATTGCACTTAAAACAGTGGTAATAAAGTATACATTTCAATCACGCATATCATTTACGACCACCTAGTCTCTATGGAGATAATAGTGACAATATCTCCATGGTCTAAAGTGCATGGTGCACATTGAATGATGGAATATTTGTTAGACCTCTCCCGATGATGAGTTCGTATTCCGGACCGGTTGGCTTTTAGTTAACATGATTATCTGGAGTACCGCTATACAGAGGGTGGTAATGCTATGGTAAATGAGACGCTACTACCCAGTTACGAGTATATATCACTTTGCCTGGTATACATTGCATGACCAAGCCCCTAAATTCCGCCATTACATTTACATACTAACGACCGGTTTGTCCGAACTCCTGAGAAAATATCATTCTTGTGTGGATAGTATGTCCCCAATTGGAAAGCTATTTGGCGTGATTACGATCGTGATTATCTGTGTAATTGTGTTATTTTGAGTTATGTCTAGTTGAATATTATGTGTCCAGTGCGACAAAGCTTGTTCCTGCCACTTTGCCAACTTATTCATTGTTCACTATAGAACTAGCATTGCTTATAGGAGGATAGATAAAAGATGTAGCCCGGCTGACGTGGAGAGACACCTAGGAACCCCAAAGAAGAATGTATGAGTCAACAATTGGACGAGTCCCAATAAGAAAAAAAACAATAGCAACATGTCAACATAATCTTAATCAAAATTCAAATGCAATAAAACTAGGCCAAAATATGTCCAAAGAAAAGATTGACATGAAGGCTCATAAAAATGAATAAAGAGAATAAGACCAGGTGTCCCGGATGGGTTATAGTCTTCTGTTTCACCGACGACACCCGCCATGATCAATCCAATATCACGTTCTCAAACTCAAAGGTGTACAACAACAGGACCATCAGGCAAACTAAAGACCATCAAATCAGTCCAGCCTCATATCGCGCAAAGAAATAGAATATTTATTAATAAGATCACTATGACGACCGTGACACTTTTTCATCAAGCTGCGTCTTTTGAAACCCTGTGTTACGTGTTTGTCCGTCAGTTGACGACATCTTCCACGAATATCGTGATAATGGGAACAGACCCTTGAATATCCAATCAACTTTGACATGTTAACAATATGGGTTGAGGATGCTGCACACAACACAATCAAAGACTATGATAATGTCTCTAAATTGGGCTGCCTTACTAGGTTTGGCGTGGTTATATACCTTTAATTCATTTGGAATTTTGAGGACACTGGTTGACGTTTTATAGTGTCATCACAGCGACATGTCATAATCTGAATTAACAAGTCGTTGTATTTGTTCCTAACGCTAAGCATAAAAATTTATGTTCAGCATTTCATCGTTTTGTCAATAGCGAATAAGTTAGCAGCTGTTCTGGAAATACAGATAATGGGGAAATGCTTTTAAAACCATTTACAATTGCTTTTTCTGTCAATAGAAAATACCAATATGTCAATAGAAAATACCAACCATGTGAAGAGACAGCGAAATTCATTATTGCATCGATTCTGTATTTCCTATATTTTTAAGCTCATGCACATTTAATTGGGCAGGCGATTAATGTCCAATAACACGTGTTAGTTACAATGGAACGGCTACATTAGGAGATTACAATGGCTTACAAAATATACATGACAATGGGTTACGTTATTTAATCACTAGAAATATAACAAGATAATGACATGTCATTTCCAAAATGACAGCGTGAATTGTTTAAAACACGTGTTTCCCTTTCACAAGAAAAGATAAAATTTTGATTTCTGAAAACATTCAAGGAACCTTAAATTACGATGGTAATCACATTATGACCTAATCTGTTGTTCGAGACAAAAAAATCCATAATTCAGCTATGGTATTAGAATGGGATACTGATAAATATTCGGATATAAGTAAATAGTACATAATACGTTCTGACAGCTATAAATAAGGTTGGTAGGTTCGAAATCTATGGGTTATACAGCTTGATTTATCATATATGTTAGTCCTATTAATGCCCGAATGGAAAGCTCGAACTCGGAATATGATGGATTAGACTTGCGAACGGTACAGACAGGGCGGCACTGAAATGGACAAGCTGTACTATTTATAGTTTAACAAATCTTTGTCGTCGGTGAATCCGGACCTCCTGGTCAGTGACAACATGTAAATTGCGGGATGACCAACAACAACATTCTGATCGACATCTTATGTTCCAATAAGTAACATGCATTGTGCGTGTGTGTGTGTGTTGTGAAAAAGAAAATCAGACAAGCTATATGTGGTTCGCCCACACCTACAACTGGTATATAATAGTTCTACTTATACAATATCATTCCTGTTCCCGTATCTTCGTGATTTCACTGTATAAATCACAAATTAACATTGTCTGGTTTTCAGTAACTCAGATATACCAGTATAAGGAGTTTTATTTCAGAAATTGACGGCGATATGACGAAAGAATGAGAAGATTTCAATTTAATGTCTCTAATTCTTAAGACTCCCATAGGACTTTTTCCTTAATAAAATATACAATTTAATTTTTTATGGACAGAAAAGGTAGACAATTTTATTTTCAGCCGCAGTAATGCAACATCTGACTGACTATATTTTTCCAACTGAAACTTTTTTCTGGATTTTGAGTTTCCACCAAAAAACCAAGAGGTAACCATCGATTTAACATAAAGTTACCGATAGTTTTGCTGAGAATTCCCCATAAAAATGATGAAGCTGTTATGCCTTTTTCTTTACATTTTTATTACATATGTGTAGGTTGTGTTTAGCACGATATTCTTAACATTAAATGTTTTTTTATAAATCTGTTATTTTTCATAACACATGTTGTTGTCCAAACTCATGCTATTCTTTACCTTGTAACGTCGTCCCTGTTTTCTTTCTGAGGCTGCATGTCATCCATACTACGTTTCCCGGGACTGTATATACTATTGAGCCATTCCCTGGAGCGAATCTTACTATCAAGATCAGCCAGAGCACAGAAATGACTGTTCACGCCTATGTTGCATGTTCTTTTCCTGTAACCAGAAGAATTTAATAACTACTTAGTTAGTGATATAAGCAAAACTGGGGAGTACTTCTAAAGGGTTAAAGGGTCTTTTCCAGGAGATGAAAACGGATCAAAAATTATTAACTGATTACTAAGAGCAAAAATCACCATCTGAATACCATTTAATTGTAAACATGGAGATAAATTGATTGATAAAAAAAACCAACATCAAGTTAGCTTCAAATCTTTAGCTATTGTTTAACCTCACATCATATCATAATCAAGCACATCGAAACTTTTAAAAATAATATGTCAAACTCATGATATGAACTCAAATTCAATAAAACTAGAGCAAAAATATGAATAGAAGACATACAACGGGGATAAGACTGGAATTTCGTGAATTCAGATACTGTAAAATGATGTGGCATAACGATATACAATATAGATAAAGCTGGGATATCGTGAATTCAGATATTGCAAAATGATATGGGATAACGATATACAATAAAGATAAAGCTGGGCATCCTAATTTCATTTATAGGGACGTATGTGAACCATGTCTCATCAAATGCGATACAACTGTCGATACTGATAAATTATGAATGAAACAACTCAGTAGCATCCGCGTTAATATATCATAGGAACATGCCAAATATTTACTTAATGATAAAGAACATTCACTGTATAAGTTGCCTCACAAAGACGGCTGAGATAATTATAAAAGCAATTTAATTTATTGAACATGAACTATCGTTAATTGCAGTTCTGTGTTGTCGTTGACAACTGAAAGTTAAAGATGTATGTAATTGTCGACTTTCTGAAATGTTGATGTTAAAATCTCATTATTAGAAAGGTCGAAGGATAACCATCAATTAAGAGCGACATTTAGGAAAACAATAGAAAATTTAATTAAGTTCAGTATTCTAATTGATAGAAGCAATCGGCAATTTTCTAATTGATGTTATCTCTTTGTCTATTTATCCATAAAGAGTCATTTTTACGCCTTACTCTGCATTAATCCTGCTAATTCATATTATTGAGAATTATAATCGAATGAAATACAGGTATTTAAATAATAATCTATGATTAATCTAATCTCCTTAAATAGCTCAACTGACTTGTATATAAAGATAGAAAGTACATGGGAGTGATGTAGGCAAGATATATCTCAAATCCAATTGCGAATGTTGTTCGTATCCAATAGTTATTCATGCGTTGGCGGTAACGTTTAACAAACAAATTACAGACATTAACGTTGACGTTTTTATACGATACCTACTGTTTTCTGGCTAATTCATCATCAAGGCTGGAGATGGTTCTCGTCATAGCGCTGATGTCATTCCGAGCTTCATCGAGTGATCTTACCAATCTACAATAGTAAAGCACGGGTAAGGATAGGCATTCATAAAATACATGTTTGGTATTCATTCAGAGATATCTTTGTGGCAAATGCATCAGCAGTGAGTTATAATATGTGATAGTAAAACTATAATTGATTTGCAAATTTGCCCATACACACATAATGATTTCTACCTAAAGGTGTCCATTTAATTGTAATAACCCGTCATCCTGTTATCGATTGTAGTTTTGTGAACAATTACTATCTTTTTAAGCTACATACAAATATATCTATTGATGATCATGTTTACAGTGGCGATTCTATAAAGCTACATATTTATCGGTTATCATGTAAACGGTGTGATCTATTTGTGATCATATCAAAAGCTACCTGTCTATCGCTCGTCATGTTAACACTGATGATCATGAATACAGAGGTGATTTGGTAAGGCCAACTTGTGTTTGATCTTTAAGATTGCAGGGTAGACTCTATTGGTGGACATTTAATCTCCGATGTTCCTGAACCCTGCTTGTCACGCTTTAATTCATTCGAATAAAATCACATTCGGTTCACCATATACAAATGTTCTTAGTACTCTCCTTCAGTCATAAGATGTATAAAAAGAACAAAATTTATTGAACCATGGAATAACTGCGCCTTTTCATTTAGACTTTTATTGAACCATTGAGTAAGTGCGCCTTTTTATTCAGAGTTTTATTGAACCATTGAGTAACTGCGCCTTTTTATTCAGAGTTTTATTGAACCATTGAGTAAGTGCGCCTTTTCATTCAGACTTTTATTGAAACATTGAGTAAGTGTGCCTTTTCATTCAGACTTTTTTGAATCATTGAGTAAGTGCGCCTTTTCATTTAGACTTTTTTGAATCATTGAGTAACCATTGAGTAAACTGCGCCTTTTTTTCATTTAGAGTGCGCCTTTTCATTGAATGAAACATTGAGTAAGTGTGCCTTTTCATTTAGACTTTTTTGAATCATTGAGTAAGTGCGCCTTTTCATTTAGACTTTTTTGAATCATTGAGTAAGTGCGCCTTTTCATTTAGACTTTTGTTGAATCATTGAGTAAGTGCGCCTTTTTATTAAGACTTTTATTGAACCATTGAGTAAGTGCGCCTTTTCATTTAGACTTTTATTGAATTATTGAGTAAGTGCGCCTTTTCATTTAGACTTTTATATTATTTTTGAGCATTTTGTATTTTCCTCATTTGCTTCAAAGTTTTAAAATAAAGGCCCTAAGCACTATTGCCGAGTCCTTTAAGGACAAAGCAACTGTATGAGGCAATTAAATTCATTATTCGGCTCTCGTTGGTATCTTTTTCTAAATCCATATTAAAAAGTGCAATTAACATGTGTGTCTTTTGTACAACTTTTCTATAGATGATCATGTACACAGAGGCGATCGTGCAAAGCTGAATTTCAATTTATCGATCAAAATACCTAATTGTGATTATCCAAAAAGCAATTTGTACTCCCTCGTTTTCTAACGAGCAACCAAAAAATGCATTGCTATTAGGATGAAAAAGCTGCAACTAATGTTTTAAATACTTGCTAGACAAGTCAAACAGACTATCGGTATAAACCACGGTCTGCACGGGAGATTATAACATTCTATCTATGTTTTTTTATTTTAAAAATTCAGTTGTTGAAGGCAAAGGCATTAAAATGTAATGCAGGATTTATGACAATAAAATACAACTTTGTAAAATGATATCAGGTGAAAATACATTATATGGTGTAAGGACGGCAAGCACATTGTAATATATATGCTTTTAATACAACAAGTATTAAGTGTACTTCTGTTACATTGTAACCATGTAACTTATCGAATTTAATCACGTGATATGCGATACTGATGTTTTCTGGTCTATACCCAGCGAACTGAGATCACAACTTTTCTTTGCTGTAGTGTTCTGAAATTTTGCTCTGATGAGTTAAAAAAAATCATCAATCTGCATGTTATGAAATCATGTGTGAAGTATAATATGATGTTAAAAAAGAAAGAAAAAGAAAATAAGTGATATTCGAAGTATTGCTGAAAACTTTTGGCAGCTGATGATAGAACTACCAGAACCTTGTATTTCATTACAAATACATATACATTATCTTTATTTTTTGGATTTTTTATCTCAAGTTTATATAGTATATCCTACATCCTATCGAGCAAATAATATTTTAACGCAAAACCAGTTCACAAGAATACACAACAGTACATAGCTCAGAAATGAAGACAATCGTGTTTTAGACGTCTAAAACATACTGATATGGAACCAGAATCAGAAATCAAAAACAAATAATCGATGAGACTAGGGCAAAATATGAACAAAAAAGTACAACGATAAAAAAACCCAGATGTTTCAGAATGATACGCGTCTTCTGCTGTATAGACGACACACGACATGTAAATCATTAAGTAGTGTCACGTTGCTAAATGAGAACAAGGTGAACAAGAATGGAAACAACAGGTATACTAGCATACACTAAACCCCCAACTTCATACCATAGAAAGAAATTAGATATTTCTCGATGCGACCCTTTTGTTCTTATTACCTTACAAGCCAGATTAAACTTTACACTGGCTATTAGGAGGACTATAAACCCAGATTAAACCAAAGACGGGTTCCTCTGCACAGGTGTCATTAAATTTGACAGGGTGTATATCAGTTATGTATCACATTACCAGAATACTGACATTAGTCAGCGAGACAACACCTATCGATAGGAAGAGTCACTAAGACGGAAAACCTGTAACCAATAAGTCAGTTTTATGATTACCACATGGATTTTATGGTATGTTTCTGTAAGTATAATTGAAATTTTATAGTGCCAACGCATTGGAATATGATAACACCGACACAGTAAAATGACGCGGCACATTATACTGACAAAGGGTTTGCTTCTAAGAATATTGTGTTGACAGCGGCAAGTAGCAGGTTTGCATACTCTGGATTACCTAAGAACCTATTACCTTCCTCGCTGACACGGATTATTACAATAAAAAATGATGATGCCAGGGTTAAGGAGGGAAAAGGATTTTCGTATTTAATGGTTTACTAATTCAGCTTGTCAGAAGGGTCCATGAATGATAGATAAACTGAAGGTCGCTTTTTATAGTGACATTGCATTAGAATGTCATAAACTTGACATTATCCCAACATCCAATCTAGCCACATTATATCTAAAAAATATTACAAGCCCTTGTTTGAATCTGAGTTTGGATTGTGATTATGTTTATATGTTCATATCTTCTTGTTTTTGACTACAGAACACATAACCTACATGAAGTGGATGGACGTTTGCTATTCAAAACGAAAAGAAAATATAGCGTTTGGAGTATTTATTGATGGTTTTTCGCCTTCTCGTACAGTAATTCACGTGATAACGGTGTCTACTTAAGATCTAGTCAGATGACCCCATTTATAAAATTGAAACGGTTGCAATGGGAATTTATTTTAGTTTTTTTCTGTTTACCAGAACATGGTGGTCAAATTTCTATGCTGCAAGCAAGCAAATTATTGCGCACATAGCTCAACAACATATGCGTTCGTTTTTTGTCATCCCCAACCTATTGGTATCGGTTGTTTGAAAACCGAAACTTAAGCCCCAATAAAACCTATCGTACACATATCCCAGTTATTTAGGTATTCAGTCATCTGGTCCTTGCGTCACGTCTAAAGTAACATGTTTTTAATACTACCAACTGAAAAAGTAACGACTCAAAATTTTAATATGTGGAATGATGGATGAACATTGATACGTATTAGTATTTCCGGTGGTCTCGATAAAGATATGTCTGGACCAAATTACACGACACCATTTGGACCCGATTTTGATTTACATATGTCACAATGTAGCAGAAACAACGAAAACCAGGTTATATCATCAGGATATCTTTTTTTTCATTTTTAAGCAAGATGAATTAAGATCTGGCATTGCTCACCCGATTTTATTTGGTTAATTGTTTCATTCCAATTACAGGAAAAAAGATTCTAAAGAAGTATAACTATTTACACATTTTGTCCGAACTCTCTGTCACTTGGGAGTTCAGCAAAACCATTTATACAAATCTCCTTTTCACCTAAGATTGCTTCAAACAAACTTTGGACAAATCCTTTAGTTTCTAGGAGGAGTGACTTCGAAGAATTAGTTATATATCCATTTTGGCCTCCATATTTAAAAATTGGTGACTAAGGTTGATCAAAATGATTTCATCCCAACCAAAAGAGAGACTTTAAAGAATTTGCTAACATTCATACTGGGCAAAGCCATTCGGGCCCCAGAGGGCCATATTCTTCACTGATGCAAAATAGGTTTCCTTCTTCCAAAGGATGCTTCTGACCAAACTTTGCCATTAAGATAGAGCATGGTCCTAAAAAATGCACTAGAATGATAAAATGTTACGTTACCTTGTACTGGCTGTGAGCTTTTTGTGTGGTTCTTCTGTGGACAGAACCAGGGATGGTAACGTGTACATGCATGTCAAGCACACCCACACATAGGTGTTGGTCATTCTTCTCAAGGGAGCTGAAGTAGAAGAAAATAGTTTGTATTAAGATGTATTGAAACAGCTTCACAAAGATACTCTAATATTAATCCTATATAGAACGCATATAAAAGTTTAATCATATCACCATACAAATAAAAATATTCACCGAAGTTATTGTCAATACTATAAAGAAATTTTCAAAATTCATTTACAATATACTATGTGTTAAAGATAAGCAATTACCATTAGTTAAACATTTAAGGCAAATTCATCCTTCCTTATAATGTTTACTCAATCGTAACAGGATATACAGGTACTGTACAAATATCAATTAAGTCATACCTGTAATTCAAACATCATCAGGTAAAGTACATCAAACAAGCAAAGCAGATGATGAAACAGTTACAGAATATTGAAGATAATTTAAACTTACATTTCAAAGAACAATAATGAATTCCTGTATTAAAGGTATTCCGTGTGATTTGAACAGTGTCAGTTTGTTAGACTGAATGGCTAAGCACAGCGAGGCTGTATATATGGAAAGGAACACCACCTTCGCTTCGCAGGTTATATGCTATCAACTTTAAAGTGTTAATTTGCTCGACGAACGAACATCCAATTTCAACAATACAGTATCATACGTATTTTAATAATCCATCCGACATCCTGTCTGATGGGAGTTATCAATTAACTCCTTAGTATGTGATAATATTTGATCATATGGGTTTTTTATTTTTATTTATTTTTTTTTCATAAATATAGACATTCATTGCGTTGCGTGCTTTCATCCATTCGATATCAATCAATAACTGAAGTTAATGTCTAAAAAGGTACGGTTCACGTGCTGCAGGGCATCTTATGTCATGAATAATTTTTATGCTACCACTTCACCCATAGCTGAGTTATAAGTATAAATACACAATTATTGATAGTGAAACTCTATTCTTAGAGGCGGTTCAAATGTATCTGATGTTCATGGAAGATCTTTTTTAGATTGGAGAAAACGATTTATAACGAGCCATTGACATCTTTAAAGTCGATATTAGATTTTAAAAGGAGGTCATACACATATTGTTAGATTGTTTTACAAACTATTAAACATGTAGATACATTCTACGTGTTTTCTTATCCATCCCTAACTCATTTTGAATTTGGTTGTATAGTTAAGGTCATATCTCAAGTTTTTTATGACGAAAACAGCCAGTTGAATTTGCATGTTTTCTCTTTGGAATCCAGATTTGGAATGTTTTCAACATCATCGATTACGTCTTACAGAGCATGACTATGGGAATAGATGCTTGAAATCAACAAATTAATTCAGATTTGAATGATAGATAGACATGAATCACAAAGTTATTCATGGAACCGTTTGCAAATAAAGGATTGAAAGAAATATATACATCAAAATGAGTGATAGATATCCTAGCTCCTATCTGTAATTGCATTTCAAAACTATGTTCAATTTACATGTTTTGGAGATTTGATTGTAACTCGTGTCTATTATCTGAGATAACGCGCGCATTGGGAAAGTATTCGACATCATCCCTTTGCTGTTTTCTAGCAACATTCAAATGAACACTGTTGTTCTTTGTAGTATCACAAAACATATCAAATAGATATAGTTCCCTGTAGTATTACATACCAAACATACAAACATATTAAATAGATATAGTTCTCTATAGTATCACATACCAAATATATTAAATAGATAAAGTTCTCTATAGTATCACATACCAAATTTATAGTATCACATACCAAACATATTAAAGTTCTCTGTAGATAAAGTTCTAACAAACATATTAAATAGATAAAGTTCTCTATAGTATCACATACCAAATATATTAAATAGATAAAGTTCTCTATAGTATCACATACCAAACATATTAAATAGATATAGTTCTCTGTAGTGTCACATACCAAACATATTAAATAGATATAGTTCTCTGTAGTATCACATACCAAATTTATTAAATAGATAAAGTTCTCTGTAGTATCACATACCAAACTTATAAGATAGTTATAGTTACTGAATAATTGTAAAGGAAAGACATTTCTAGGAATTTGAATATTCACACATTAGTGAAGCACTTCTGATCATGTGCCCTGCAGGCATTGCCTACGTATGATGTGGCCAATATCACTGCCTAACCCTAGGATCTGCAGCACCACGTGCCCTGTCTTAAATTATATGGAGGTATTGCCTACGTAGGATGTGGCCAATGTCTCTGCCTAACCCAAGGATCTCCAGCATCATGTGTCCTGTCTTAAATCATATGGAGGTTTTGCCTACGTAGGATGTGGGCAATGTCAATGCCTTCAAATAGGATCTCAAGCATCCTTTACGGTCACTTCATTCACTTCAACGGGGTTGTACAAATCACATTTATAGTTCAAAATATTCAATTCTCAGTATTATGAAAAAGACATTTCTCAGATTTACAAATAAGGTATATTCTTAGTTATGTTAATTGTTTCACACAGACGTTTTAGACCTGCTAGAAGATATCTCGTACTGCAATGGTTCATTACGTGCTATATATAGGAGTGGTCATCGGTGTAACACTTCCGAACACGAGCAAGATTAACCTCGATTGTATTAATAACAAGGAGACTATTTATCGATAAGTGGTTTCATCGACTGTAAATTGCAATCTATGATTGGGTACAATCATTGTGTCACCGCGACGGCAAAAATATTAGCAAACATTCTGTAAAATGCCTTTTTATATCCTGTAATTCAATATGCCCAAGCACCCAGCCAAATACAATATGACAACTCGAGAAAAGATTCTAGAGAAATGTACACCGGTACCTTTTGATTTTATTACGTGACGTATGCTTTCGCTTTGGTCTAATTTTAAATAATATCCTCTTCCAAACTGTTGCATTGCATGGTCTTCATGCCCTCTTCATACTGGCAGTGCCGATATATATATGAGAAACAGACGCAGACATTTTAGTGGTCTGCACTACATGGGAGTGTGTAAATATAAATGTAAACGTCCAATTTAACTTCTTGAAATAAATTTTAATTGAAAATTCTATATTAACCAAACTCAGTGTGATTGGAAGTGTTTGACAGACACTTTATTTGTCTGAACGATGTAAAAGAGCGTGTAAACATTGTGCAAACCTTCAATATAACCCCTTTGAAGTCAATCTAAACTGATAGTTTAACAGTAGCCGAGTCAAATCTAATTGTCTGACATTTCAATCACTGTCCTGCTGCCACCACCATGCGAGACCGAGGATATATCTGTTCTTTAATGACAAGAAAGGAACTCATTCCGTTACAGAAACAAATCGTTATTTATCAGTGTACTTTCGAATCATATTTAAACACATCTGCAACCATTCTGCTTTGATAAAGCCTATATAAAATCGTCATCCTGGAAACCAAAGCTTGCATTGTTAGATCTAATCTATCACAGTGTTTTCCTTCCACTAATTCTATGTTATACTTTACGATGCTAAGTACTGTATCTATTTTCAATAATGATCGAGCCACTTGTTATTGTCACAAAGGAGCTCCACATTGAAGCAAACCTCAATCTAGAATGAAATATATGTTCTGTTAGGAGCTGAGCACCTACCCAACCATTTCATTGATTCTGAAGAGACTGACCTATAATTACCGATACTGTAGATGAAATATCACACCATTATTTATAGGATAAAGACGACAAGAGTATTGTTAATATAGCTTTATGATAATCTGGACATAGTCAGTCTCGGGAATTCCTGTCAAGACAAAAATGACACTCCCAAAAAGCAGTTGTTTATGGTTTGACGTCTTCGCAAATATGCAAGCGATGTGTTGACGGAGGCATTGAAGTGACATTACACTAAAATGGAATAACCTAGACATGGTGTCATAATAATCCCTCTGGTCGCATTATTCTGTCAACAGACTAACACGTCTGTACCGTTTCTCATCTAACTTCAACTTTAGAGCTGGTTATCAAACAGATATGCAAGTGGTGATTCAAGTCCACCAACCGAGATATTGTAATAAAATTTCTGGGAATTTACATCTGAAAACTTCTTTGAATATGTGACAAAAATTCATTCAGACGCAAACGTAGTAATTTCAAATTTAAAAATGTAGTGTAGAAAGTATTAACATATTATGTACCAGAAGTCATTTAAATGTTGACAGATGAATTTCAATACTGGTTCGTAGCCAAGGCCACTATCTATCGTATCACTTCTCCATCGTCCTTTCAAGTTACCGAAATGTTTCCAGATATTTCCTTTGGAATGTTTTATACGCATTGTGAACTTGATAAATTAGATATATAACGGGGATATCGCAAAATAAAGTTTTGTGTCTGAAAAGCGTATTTTTCGTTGATATTTGCAAAAAAATAAAAGTTCATTCATTCAGGAAGACGCCATTTAATAGCCGAAGTTATTTTTTTAAACATCCACAGTTGTTAACGTTATTATTGACCGTATTGATATACAAATGCTACTGATTGCTATGTTACAGATATAACATGGATGTTCATTGGATGAAATTGCAGTTGTTAACATGATACAATAACTAAGAGAGACTGGTTTGCGTCAAAACATTTAAATTTGCTCTTGTCTTTGCCATCCATTTCCGGTGTGTTTATTTTTTCATTGACACACCTTGATACATTTACACATCTCTATTTACATTTACACTATAATTGTCTTATTTCTTAAATCTTTTAGGTACTAATTTAACATTTATAGCAATACAAGATAGACACAATAATATTGCAGCAGGTGTTTCATAGAGAGCAATGCTTATTTCGGTTAGAAAACAAAAAACGGAAAACAAAATAAAATACAAGCACACGAATAAAAAACAAAAACGAAAAAAGGGCAGGTTCAAAGAATTAATTGAACTCATTTTTGATGACATTAGTGCAGGGTATGAACAGATGGCAATGTCCATGGAACCCCCCTGAAAAAGTTCTAGGAGAAAAGATCATTTGTTCGGAAAGGGCATACATCTTATGTTTCACCGACGACACCCACCATGGAGATCACGCTCCCAAATTGAAACCATGAAAACAGCAGCCACACCTATCGTCCACTTTGGTTTCATTGTAGGAAAAGATCGAGGTAAGCGACTAGTGTAGATCAATATGCCATGTCCTTAAATCCAATACTGGAGGGTATATATGATGAATATAGTCAATAAAGTTCTTGTTTTATGACAAGACGTCATCAATAAATCAAAAGATGGAACTGAATGGTTTCGCAATGTCTTTGTTACCTGTTTTGATAAGCTCTCCGATAAATTCAGTCTTCATACCAAGCTCGACGAAGATATTTTCAACAAAGAATTCCCATCATTTAAACGATTTATAAGCAAACTTCAGAATACCGACGGTAAAAACAACTCTTTTAAGCCGTCGGTCGAAGTTACTTTATAAGCTGGAATTTGCTGTGTATGTGTAGATGGGAAAATATGTGTGTTGTCAATTCGCTAATAACTCTATAAATGTGTTATATGTGCATTTCAAGTATAAGGTTGTTTGTATCACCATAAGCAAGTACCATGTGCAGTAAACAAGCATTGATACCATGACAAAGAGAAATCGAAAACTCGTTGAACCGCCAAAGTGTCACTCAACGGAAAGTGGAGATTATGGAAGTTAATCTGTATTTAGTTTTCTGATAAGAGGGAATTAATCATTATAAAGTTTTCTTGTTTTGCAAAGGGTTCCCGTGGGTCGTGAAAAATTGGATTGGCATCATGCTTCGTTAGGACATAGCGTGCTGTTTTCAAACTGCTGATTGCCAAAACCAATTATCTTTTCTTAGTATTGTCATCTCATGATCATTTCAGTCCTTTAAGTTTAAATGTTAAATACTCTAAACTTTCCTGGAAATAAAAAAGTAACTTATCAGGAAATGACGTTAATGAAAAACAAGACAATTCAGTGACACGTTCATGTTTAATTCATTTTGTAGAATCGTTCCTATCATGTAGAGAAGACTCTATGACCCCATTAGGTAATTGTCTATCCAAAGCACTGGATGTCTCGTGAGGTTGGTAGTGGACAGTAGGCATTTAACGAACAATATCAATACCTATGTTACTCCCTGTCTATGCATTCAATACCAGTTTTGTTTGGCAGTTGCAGTCTGCTAATGGACACAGATAGAACACTATTGTTATCGAGTGTCAAATGATTATGTTTGTCGTTGAGGATAACGAGAGTGCCCCACTCAAGTAATGTCTGCGATCGATATGATATATTTAACACGGTTCGATGATCTTACAATATATGATTAATTTGTTTGGAGTTTTATGTTCTCACAACACCCAAAGTCACGGATTTATTTCTGGAAATATCCAAAGCATACAATGAAAGGGCCACAACATGAGAAAAAATGAGAGGAAACGTACAAGGTTCAATATAGGTACGATAGCCCTAAATACATGCATATAAGGATGACTATGTAGATCGCACTTTACGAATGTGTCGTTAATAGTTTAAATGCATCTCGAAGCCTTTACATTTGACATTCAAATTAATTTGGATAGGACACGATTTCTAAAACGGAATCTTACCTTGGAGGGAGATATGATTTACGAGATGACTTTGATTACCAAACCGTTCATTTAATCAGGTAATTATCCCCAAAATCTCTACACAACCTTTTTTCTATCTGATGTATGAATAGTATACAGACGGATGACAGAGTGATATCAGCCGGAATCATCCAATTAAGATGTACTTCCACCATGCTACCTCGTTTATATGCTTTGTATGAAATATGCCCCAGGTATGTTCGATACATCTCTGATTAGTGTACAAATCAACAACTGCTAAATGCCCCAAAATGTTATAAGTGTACACGTTATCAGTTTATATCCTGTCACTACACGTATATATACACCTCATCACAAACACAATGTTTATTGTCAACGCAAATATCTTACCATTTACCCACAGTCAAAACGACATGGTAGATCAAGAACTCTAAGATGGCAGTGATAGGGAATTTCATAATGGTTATACTATTTTCTTGATCTTAATCTGAAGAAACTGATTAGTTAAAACCCTTGGGCAGTTTCGATAACTGAGTAAAGGTCGGTAGTTTAAAACATATGACCTGAATATATAAAGCACAATAACATCAGCCATGGATTCGTATAGTCTCAGTTTTTTTCATTCCCAGGATCCACGTGTGTTTACATTCGGGTAATCACATGTTACTTGGTGCGGGTAAGTAAAATTTGAAGTTGTCTGAATTTACATACTTTTTAATACACGAACTGAGAATAGACAACAATTCTTCTATTAATATTTGGTATCCAGACTTTTGTAAAGCATTAAAAATATCTTAT